TTTTTTTTTTTTTTTTTTTTTTTTTTTTTTTTTTTTTTTTTTTTTTTTTTTTTTTTTTTTTTTTTTTTTTTGGAAAATTGCATGCTTTGATGGCAGTGTTGTCATAAATGAATTTTGGTAATAACATTTCCACAACTTGCATTTTAAAAAAAATTGCCCGTAAAAATGTAAGTACGAAGATCAGAGCGCTAAGAGCAGCGCCCATGCCCCATAGTCAGGAGGGAGGAGAGGGACAGACGGACCCCCGACCCCCATAATTTTAGTAGCCGAGCAATTTTTTTTTTTTTTTTTTTTTTTTTTTTTTTTTTTTTTTTTTCAGGGTCCCTCTCTAAAACTTTTCCTTTCTCAAGAGAACAAGCCGATATTATTTTCAGAAAAAAACTAATAAAAAATGTTTTTCTCTCTCTTATTTTCAAAATCTCTTAAACCTGTAGGTCTCCTCCTGAGACAATTGAGATATAAATATTTCCAGCTTTTCGACCGTAAAGAAAAGCCAGAGTTTGTTGCAAAGAAATATTTCCAGAGCAAGCAAGAAAAACATAATTTAGACCCACACAATCAGGCAATTTCATCAGGAGTTCATCAAACTTTGCTCAGTACAGTAACCGCAACCGCGTAACCGCGGATTGGGCACTGACCAAGTTGGCAACCAGGCTACTGCAGCCCAAAGCGGCAACACTGGCTTGAATTGATATGCTCGATGTTTATTTTGGTTTGGTAACATAACCTCATCGTTCACGTCAAGTCGGCTCATCGAAGTTTGCACCAATATTTTTATTTCTTAATTCATTACAATCTGATGACGAACCGTCAGAAATTTATCGAAGTTCAGTCGTAGTGAACGCTTTCTCGTTAATAATTCCAACAAGTTGTGATTAAATGTCCTTTTTTGTGTGTCTTTGTTACTAATCCAAAGGAGTGCCGTAAGTGATTACATAACAGTCGACTATGCGTACCGTAGAGGGAAAAATCGTCGTCCTGGGAGGACAAGGTATTCAAATATTGTATAATTTTGGCAAAAATTGAATGATTTCTTCTTTAAACACGTATCCTATCACCCTCACTTCATTTCATTTACTTCTCTGGTTAATTTATAAGCATGTTAGAAAGGATCTGTGACGAGAAAGTTGCTTTGCCGTAGGTGTTCAGCGACCTGGCTCCTTCTGTTTTGTGCAGAGATGAGCTGTTGCTTTCTAAGCAAGTTTTGTTCTTTGATTTGAAGTGACGATACAAAAATATAAGATAGTCGAATGTTTTTATTTTTCTCCAAAGCTTCCATCGGGATGTCCTACTCAAAGTTAGAGGACGCACAAATTGATGTTGTTTTTTTATATTTGTTCTATGATGCCAGAATGTCTAACTATTCTACACTATATAATACTATTGATTGTACTAATTCAAGAAACATGTACTAAGAATCATCCTCAGTGAATAATTAAATGTACGAACAGAAAGAGAAAAACTTGGAACAATTGAAAGGGGAACTCAAGTGAGTCAGCATCTCTCAAAAATGCGAATATCACATAATGTTTTTACAGTAGCACTGTTTTAATGTGATTTCTATCTGTATCCATTTGATGTCAAGTAAATTCTACTGTTCCTATTCCAGTCAAGCAAAACAAACAGGTTAACCTAATGAGCTATACACTCTGATATCAACAGTGAGTCATGAAGTTTGCTGGAGACCAAAGTTCGTTCTAAATGATTATCAATTCAGCCCTATACTCATAAAAAGTGATGCATATGATAACTAATTCCCCCGGGAGAAAAAATTGTTGCTTGGATTGTCAGCAAATTTTCCTAGGTGTCTCAAGTTTTTATCCACAGAAATGTTTATTACCAGTCAGGAACTGTATCTGAGGAAGAGACTGATTTGTTAAATAAGTCGGATATTTAAATCTTACCCGGTTCTTCCATGAAAATACTTGCTTATAACTGTCTTCTTCATCAATCATTTAGAACCAATTATTTGCCTAAATCTACTAGCTGCTTGTACTAACTTTTTCGAACTTTTCCAGGGGTTGGTAAGACCAGTATGGTGGTTCGATACATAGGAAAAATGTTCAGCCATCACATCAGTCCTACAATCGGAGCCTCCTTTTTCACGTGCAAAATCAACATAGAAGACTCAAAAGTTAAACTACAGGTGAGGACTACAGGTTTCTAATGTGACAGCATTCTTTTGTTTTTTTTTATTCTTTTAGCTGCTGAGTAGAATTTTACAAAATTGATGGATAAAAAGTAGAAAACAAGGAGGGCCTTCAAAATCTTCAAAATCTAGGAATGGCAAACTTTGTTTCTCCTCGGCTGTAAAATTGTCAAGCTGGCCCTGCAAGGGACATTCCCTTTAAAAAGGAGGTACATGTATTCATTTCTGACTTGTTCTTTGAGAGATATGAAACAAACATCATAGGCAGGTTCATGTGATAGATATTACAATCTTCAATTTAAAAAAAATGCTCATCATTTTGCACCCATTTGCCAAAAATAAATCTCTACTTCAAAACCCCATTTTTTGTCACCTGCTTATGAATTTAATCCAAAATTCCATTAATTCAGGGTCAGTTTTAGGCCAATTCTTTTAGAAGGATGGATACAGAAGAAACTGCTGTGCTCATTTGTTTCTCATTGAAGTTTAGTGGATATTGTGATGGGAGGGATCAAGGCAGCTTCATTGAGTGTGGTTAGAGTAAAGACTTTTTAGGTTATCATAGACAAAAAAAGAATTCTAGTGTTTAGAATATAATTAATTTCAAATTTTAGTAAGTAAAGTAAGTTGAGTTGGAATCCAAAGAACCCAAACTGTGCCATCTCTGAGACATCAAATATTTATGTAGGTAGGCTGTTCTAAAGTTTCTAGAGTCTAAAAGAAGTTCCAAGTTTTGGCAAGGCTATCGTAAAATTGAATCAGTGAGAATGAAAGCACACCAACTTGGAAAAATGAAAATGTTCAAGAGACACAAAAAAAAAAAAAAAAAAAAAAAGCGCAGTATGTGAAAATTTTGGTCTAAAAAAAGCTTTTTGGTATCTAAAGGCAATTTCTTTGGGACATTTTAAAGGCCCAAGTTGACACAAATGCGCCATTTTCAATGGCTCACATAAAAATTGGGTATCTTCAATAAAATATGGGCATTTTTAAGTTTTTAAGTTGATGTGCTTTCATTCTCACAGATTCAATTGTGATAAGGTTTTCTGTTTCCGTACAAGAAATAAAAATTGCTTTCTTCTAGGTATGGGATACAGCAGGACAAGAAAGGTTCCGATCAATGGCCCCTATGTATTATCGGAATGCAAACGCAGCACTTTTAGTTTTTGACATCACAGAACATGCTTCTTTTGAATCTGTAAAATCGTGGGTGAAAGGTAAGAAAAAAAAGAGTTATAAAACAAAAAAATAAGTATCTTGTTTCATAATGTTGCAAATTTCCTGTTGTAAATTACTTTTTTTAAATCCCCTGTGATTAGGGGTTGTTTAGTCAGAGTGTTTGCCTTTGAAGACTCCAAAATGAGAAAACATAAATTGAAGAAGCAAAACAGTTCAAGTTTCTATTACTTGAGCTTATAGCTACTTTTGAAAAAGGAGATGAAAAAAAATCCCTGGTTATTTCTCATTTTTAAAGAGATTGGGCAATCCATTTGCTAAAAAGGAGGAAAGGCAAAATTTATTTTGCAGGACATTAAAGCAACCCATGATTATATCTTATTTTAGAGACAACATTATTTTCATTTTTTTTCTTCGTTGGAATTTACATTAATAGATGGCCTAGAAAAGTAAGATCTTTTTTGCCTCATGCTGTCTTTTTACAGCTATCACATCTACAAGTTATCTCTTGAGGTTTGCACCTTTATCAACTTAATAATTTGCATTACAAATAATCCGTGTGCCTTCCTTTCCTTACAGAATTAAAACGCAATGTTGATGAGCCCCTAGTCCTTTGTGTTGTCGGTAACAAAACAGATTTAGAACCACAGCGGCAAGTAACAAGGGAAGAGGCCATGCAATATACTGAATCAATCAATGGAACCTACTTTGAAACATCTGCTTTAAATGATGATGGTATGTACATATAACACTTCCTCTATTTGCAGTATTGTATTCTATGTGGAGTATCTAAAATATTGCATCTTTTTTGTGTCGCTGAGCTCCTAAGACCATTATTCTAATGCTCATGTGGTTGACCATTGAGTATTATGCCTATTAAGGTCTCAAGAAATATCCTACAAGGTGTGTTTGAAACAAAAAGACCAAATCCAAAGCTATCGTTGGTCACTTTATCGCAATGAAAAATCTTTCATGCCCCACATTGAAGGAAACTGGTCTTAAAACCCCCACTGTGAACTTCTGTGCAACTGCTTCCTCCTTAGTTTTGCCATGCTGAATAATTCAATACGTCGGACAGCAAATTTTTTATGCTGGCCATGTCTCGAACCACACAGCTGAGACATATTTTTTTTCGGATAATGAGAAGAATTTTTGTTTTAACTTCAGATTCTTCCTGTTTTCTATCAAATTCTTTCCTGTTTCTACAATTTTTTAAAGAGGGACCAGGATCAAATTTTGAGTTTTTTCTCATTGTTTCTTTTATTTTAATGTTGTTTTCTTTAAAGTAGCTACCAAATTAATTTGTTGAAAATAAAAGAATTGATTCATTTTTGCTCAATGAAATGCATTTGTAAAACATCAATGCAGCATAAAGATCGAAAAGAGGCAATTTTGAAAAGCATCCTTGAATTTTTTCCTAGCTCTATTGAAACAAATCAGTTAACTTATTGGCAATGGAGGGAGGCGATATTTAGTCTCTTGTGGTATCTAGTTTTGTAATACAATTAAAATACATGTCTCTACACTTACTGTGGATCTGAAAGATCATAACTTGTGGACAAACAGATATATCATTCTTCAGTACAATATTTTTTTATTGAGCACTACCAACCAATATGTTATGCAGGGTTGCCACAGTCAGGAAATATCAGGGAATTTTAAAATGTCTGAGAAAACCTGGAAATATCAGGGAAAATGACGGAAGTGTCAGAAATAAATTGTGAGTCGCTTTTCTTTGCTTTCTTATTTGCTCTTTAGAACGGATCTGACATTTCTAACAAAAACTTTGCCAGGAAACCATTTTAAAGTATGTCATTTTAACTACCTGGCATATGTTCAATTGTCAGAAAATTTTATCAAAATGTGTCAGGGAATTTCACTCTCTAAATTCTGTGGCAACCCTGAAAATCATTTGAATATTTTCAAAATGGTTGGAAATCTTTGGTCAATAAATCCATATTTAACTCATATCTTCTCTGCTTTTTTTCAAGGTATTGAAGATGTTTTTCTGAATGTAGCTGTTGGTTTGATCAAAATGAGTAAAAACCCAAATCTAAAGCATAGTCTGCGGGTGTATAATTCTGACAATGCGCCCAATCCATACCTAGACGATGCAGGATTAACACGCTACGGTCTTTCCAGTATAGAATTGAACGAACCTCTCGGCAGTGAAGCAAAGTCTCCGATGTGTTGTTAACTTTAAGTATTATCTTTTCTCTTTTATTTTAATGTAATGTCCTCTTCCTCACTTTCCCTGTCATTGTACCTATGTCAATGACTTGACTGATATTGCAATCTTTAATCTTTTCAATTGGACTACATTTTGCAGTAATGGATTCCCATTTCTGATTCATTAGTAGAAGCATCTGTCTGCATTCTGCATAGAGATATTAATGATGTATGAGTTTATTTTTAAAATAAGCATGAAGTAGTAGCTCCTGATTGCAAAATTTAGTCCGATTTCTATTTCATTTTAGCAACATTCTGATCTTCAAAGGAAAGCATTTGTGACATATTTATGACATTCCAAGAGAACTACTGCATTCCAAAAACAGTATCTAAAGCTGAGAGCACATGTTTTCTCATTGATATTTTGACCAAAATACATTGATCACATCGAAAACTCCCAAAATTAACTTACTAGTGATAAATGAACGTCTGTAGTTAAAAAAATTACTTGCAGGCCTAATCAACATAGGTCACTTCAGGCATTGAAGCCAACCTGCACGTTTTTCAGATAACTAAAACTTGTCTTCACACACATTTCTTCTCCCTCTAACACATGGTACCTTTAATCTTGTAAAAAAAGGAGTTAATACACAGGAAAATTCTCCCATCGTAAAATATACTGAAATTAGTCTAGTGCTGGATTTGACTTGAAAAGATACAAGTTTTCCTGTGGGCGAGAAGTGTGGATTAACGTAAACAAAGATCATCATTTTCTCATCACCTATGGACTTATTTGGGAAAATTTCAATGCATCCATTGTATTATCAGTAAAATTTTGTTGTGGAAACAAAAACAGGATGATCTAAGAGTCCCGCACCATCCTTGTAAGCCTTAGGATTCCTGCTTTTTTTCAGGCAAGTCCTCCGAAAATTTTGGAGGGTTCCAAAATTCGTTTATCTCACCCAGGAGCAATCATAAAATTTCAAGTCTATTTTCGATTATTCTTTTTCTATCTTGATTTGTTAAAAAAAAAAAAAAAAAAAAAAAAAAAAAAAAAACCAGGGGTGCAAGTGATGCCTGGCACTAGTGGAGCGGGACTTTTGGATCACACTGTATTTTGATGCTTCATTTTGTAGTCTGTCTAGTAGTCCATTACCGCTTTCCTATCCTTTTGTATGTATTAAAGAATATTGAAGTGTAACTTTATTGAAGAATGGAGCTTACCTTAAATTTATTTTACTTTATCTATTCTTTTGAATTATCATTTATTTTTATAGATCTGATAAAATTAATTTTCGTGCTTTAGACTAAGGAGCGGTGTTCAAGAGGTTAGATATTGATTCTTTTGCGTAATAAGATAGTATATTTTTGAAGTTTCTGGCTTAATTAATATAGATTCTTTTTGTGAGAATGTCATTGGAAACTGTAATTGCAGCTGTTGTATTTCTTTGTCTTGTTTTTTTTCTGGTGAGACACAACTTTTATTATCCAGAGTAAAGGTTGAAAAAATTATTGCAGTCAACTCTGAATCATTCGAAATTCAAAGGACCAGAGACTAATTTGAAATCAAGGGAGCTAGGAAGTAGATATTGAACTCGAGAGCTCTTTACAAATTTTCTTCCATTGTTTGTGTATTACAATGAATGAGAAGTGCTGGACGTTGTCCTTTTATTATTCTGGGAAACTACGCAGTTTTCAGTTGACAGAGAGCCAGTTTGGTATCTTCTCAAAGTTGACCTGCCAACATTTTCGGGTCATAGAGAGTTCCGCTGTAATATGTTCAATTACCAAGGTAATTTGTCTACATTAGCCCTATAAAAAATTTGAATAATTCAGGGAAAAAATACGAATGTATGAATATATGTAATGAATTCGTAGTGGTTTGTCACCTGCGTCACGGGCCCCTTCAGGGCCCGGGCCCCGGTACCAAGGACCCAGTATCCCCCCCCTTGTGGCGGGCCTGGTAGACACCCTAGTGCCAAGTATGTAAACGAATGTATCTTTCCCATGAATGATTTAATGGAACAATTTCTTTTGTTAAAATTGTTTTCTGCAGTTGTTGACATGTGCCTGAACCGAGCTAACAGATTTGCCCACTTTAGCCTGAATTTTTCATGCAAATGTGGAAAGACTGCTGATGTTTTCTATGAAAATAATATGTGTTAATTTACTTTCTTGGCTCTTTCAAAGTTTTTCTCTTTCTAACATGTTCTTTAATTTTGATTTTGTTTTCTGGAGTTTAACAATAAGGGACAAAGTCATATTTTCAAATGAGTGTAATTTTAAGCTCATGAAATTGAATGATTATTTGGATTTTTATATCAATGACAAAAATCAAAATTGCCTACCAGTCTAAAAAATTTTCTTAATACTTGATATTTTTCTCTTATTCCTGACATTTGTGCGTTAGATGGAAGGCAATTTAACTCTGAAATCCAAGATAACTTTGTCACTCCATATCTCCAGTCCTCATACATTCCTATTTTTATTTTTTACCTTCACTGTAATCTCTCTTTTTTCTTTCTCCCTTTTGAGGTGAAAATAACTGTAAAAGTTCAGGCACTATTCATCGTACTACTACTTACCAACAGTTCTAGGTGTTCCATATACCTAAAATTGTTTTGTGTTTCAATAATTAATTTAAGTAAGTTCAAAATCACCAAGTGCCAAATTATGCAAAAACGAATAATTATCATGAATCTTTGCTAAACCTAAAAATTTAGCAGTCTAAAATAAGGGTGAAATTTCTTCATAACCATTCTGTGCTTCCTTTTTATCATCATCATTAGTACATAATATTCAATCTACTTATCATCACACTTAAGCATCATTTATTTTTTAATAACCGTGTGCCTTAATGTAATATGAACACTAACCAGAATTTCCTGTGCCTTGAAGCATTTTCCTACATTTCTATCGATGGACAAAGGTTTTTCAATATTTTTTTTTTCTTTTTCTTTTCTTTTTTTCATTTTACGATAAATTTTGAGCAGTGGAAACTGTTTTTGATTTTTCCTCTCAATTTTATATTTATTGCCAAGAAGAAACCTTGAACAAGGCCGAGTAAAAAAGAACCACTTTTTTATCAGATTGTAATAAATGCCTAATTGCCCAAGTATTAATTATTTCATGTATGGTTAAGTGGAAACATATTCAATACATCATAAAAATTGATTAAAGTTTGCTATCAAAAGCAGGTTTACAGCCCAGCAGTGCTCTTGAAGTGAATATTTCGGTGGCAAAAAGGCACACACTGGAATCTCATAGCACTTATGCAAGGTTTCAATAAATTACTAGATTTTTGTGTCTATATATGGACTTAATGCTCATCAAAATGTCAACCTCCTCCTCAATTTTTTTTAGTGTGATGGTGTTACATGAATTGTGCACATTCTGGTACCAATTAGACGTTATGTCTATGTGCATCTTTCTATAGTACAATCATTTTCCAATTGTTGCATTTCAGGTTTTGCGCCTCATGCAAGTGTGCAATATTCTAATAGCAAATTTTTCTTTGACAAATTAAAGCATACATTTATTTGTTCAAAGCTCAAACAGTTTTATTTGTCTCTCTACTGAGGTTTAGAGAGGTGTATCTTGTTTTATTATCACTAAGTTAACTTATTAAAACTGAAAAAATGAATCCATATAAAAAGAAGGAAAAAAACTTTACATCGCGTGTACTAGTGAGCAAGTAAATTTCAAATTCATTCTGTGGTTTCAATTGTTGAGCATGATTTCTGATTTGTGATTACGTCTAATTTTCAAGAAAATGTTTTTTTTATTGTTTGTAATATTGGGTAACTGAGCCATCAGCTTGCATTTTGGCATACAATATCTTCATTTCTGCAAGCTTATTTTGTTGAATTGGTAATCGCCTAAGTTTGCAAAACAGGTTCAATGCAAAAGAGCGAGGATTTTTTTTTATGTAGACAAACCATTTCGGATTGGAATCAGCTTCTATTATTTTAGAGAAAGTAAAAGGTCCTTTTTTCATACTTTTTTGGCATTTTTATTTCTATGGCTCTCCCACCATGATTGGTTGTTTTTTACAATTTTATTTTATGAATGATCACTGTTTGCAATGGTGGCTCATGTATAGATTCAAGGAAAGTTAAATGCCTGCAGAAATATTTCATCCAACTCCTCCCTTCAATTTTATTTGCCATCCTTCCTGCTATTACAGTGGTTTTCATTATGAACCCATATTCATCACACGTGAACGATTCCTTTTTCTAAGGAAACGATAAATGTGTAAGCAAGTACTCAGCCTGATTTTAGGGGCTATTTGGATAAGGATTGTTCCTTTGTAACTAATATGGGTTCATAGAGTAGCATGATGGAAACTTACTCATTTTTTTTTATATTGCCATGAGCTGCCTAGGGTTGTTATTATTAAGTATGGGTGATTTTCAATAATTTATCCTACTTATCAATTTTATATCTTTACCTATGTATTACTTTTTTAGGCACTATTATGTTTTATGTACCATTTTGCAATAAAAATTCTTTTTTTAAACGAAAATAAATACAATTTTTGTCTTATCCTCCGTAAGCTCCCACTCAGTGAACATTGTTAGGATTATGAACGTTTAATTATTCAATATTTTTTCTTGAGGGAGACAGGATTTGGGTGATGCATAGGTAGTCCAAGACGAATCAGCCAAGATTATCTCTCACTAATTATTTCTCTAATGAGCGAGAAATGGGCCTTTGACCAAAATCAGACTTGGAATTTGGATAGGGAGAGGAGGGTAGTGGTACCATACTTAGGTAGGTATCCTGGAAATAAAATTCCAAGGGCGTCAAACAAGTATTCGTTCTTCATGGAGCAACAGGGGCTCAAATTTTCGAAAATTAGGTAACCCTAGAATATGCAATGGGGAAAAGCGTATAGGAACATGAGGACGTAGTTAATAGTTCTATAAGTGCAATGCAATAGCATTATACTATTACCTCAACAGCAATCAATAAATTCTAGTCATCGCGACCAAATTAGAACCAAGTGCCCAAGTAGCACAGTGGAACGGATGTGTAGGTATTGAAATAATTTTGCAATTCAATGGAATAAAATTACGATTTTCCCCCCCTTGAAATTGTAATATCATGTAGGTACATCATTTGGTCTGTAAATGCCGATTTTCAACGATGAAAAATATGATGGTTCCATGTGTGAGGAAGATGTGCAATTTGCAATTCAAACAAAGTTGGAACTTATTTCAATTCAAATCTACGACTGCATTAGGTAAACACGAAGAGGAGCCCCTTCAATTAGCGAATAATCAACATGCGTAACACTTCAACACATGGCAATAACTTTACTATGTATTTTCAATTACCTGCTTGCAATCTGCGCTACTTGGGTGTAAGATTGGAGATACTTAGATCAGACAAGGCAAAAAAATAGTAAAAACAGCGCAGAAAAATTGATGTATATCGACCGTGAAACTCCCAAATCGCGTATCTCGTTCGCAGCATTTGACAACCACACGCCCCCCCCCCCCCNATTAATCCCCACTCAACGGTACCTACCTACCAAGTCTCACCAAAATCCGTCAACCAGTAGCCAAGACAGCATTTTGGGCCACGTCGCAATGTTGGATTTTCGGCCTTTGAAAATTTGACTTAAATCGCATGATATCGAAAATGTAAGCTCAGATTCGGACTCCTCGTTAAAAATCGATGAGATTTCATGTATTGTACATTATCATAGCATGAGAAAAGAGGCCGAACACAGGCATACTGATTCTAACATTTCAATGAAATTCCTCGGGACGAAATCGAACTATGTTAGCGCCACTAGGGCCACGCGCCGGCCTTTGATCCGCGCCGGCAGATTCCGAGCGGCTGGCGGCGCGGCGTAGATAAAGGGTTGAATTCTGGGAATCATTCTTCCGCGTATCGCACTCAGCTGACCCACATACGCTACCAATGTTGCCATGTTGGATTGATAATGTTAGAATCGTTGCCTACGTTTAAGTCTCTTCCCTTCATGCTGTGCTGACGTATGATACAAGAATCGGCATCGATTTTTAACGAGGAAATCGAATTTGAGCTTGAATTTCGGATACCATGCGATTTCCAAAAGTCGAATTTCCAAAATCCATGATGCTGGACGTAGCCTGCCATATCGACTTCTGCACGTTCGATCGATTTTTAGGAAACCCGGTTGCAGAGGGTATTTTTCGACGGGAAATTCGTATTAATTAGCAGTCAAATTTCCAAAATTCGAAAATGGAAGAAGGCAGACGTGGTCTAAATTGCTATATTATCGAGTCCGAAATCATTCAACCTTGCAATTTAAATATGCATCCTTTTTCTGCGCATTTCCAAAATCAATTAGCTCTCAGCTCGTGTAAACCTTAACAAAGACTCGCTCTTCAATGGGTGCGCTTGTGTTAAAACTATTTGTTTAAAATTGTAGGAGAAATTACAGGACTGTTCTCAAAAATTGATCGCGCGAGCAATATCCCCCCCCCNGAGACGAACTATGATGAAAAATCTCGTTTCTTGTTTAATAAAATATGATAAAATTATGAATTAAATCAAGTAAAAACCCCCGAGATTCCTTTGAAATTCCTGACGAATCAATCTATGGGGTCATCCCTAAATTACGTGACTTCAAACTTGCGTGGTAAACTTGTGCTCCTCCGCAGCACAGAGCAGGATCTTTCTCCACCCCCCCCTCTCCCAAGAAACTACACAACGCTAACCCTACACCAATAAAAACTATGCATGGCGAAAACTATTCTTATGTATAGAGCGTCTGGCCCATGGTCTGGCCCTCCACGATCGTCATTCTATTTTTTGCGAACGCATTTCTTGATCCGTTTGGACTCAGCGATGAATTGAGAGAGGTAGGGGAGGAGGGTGGGATATGGCTTCAATACTTGCACTAGCTGAAGAAAATAAGACGCAACTAGCTTCATTCCGATGATAGATTGCTCCCGCATTTTTAAACGTTGTAGTTGAAGTAGGTACTTAATTGTATCATTATGATTTTATAGATATGAAGTTTGCGCGAAAAATGTTTCAATGAAACATCACATAAAGTATATATATTTTTCACTCTAATTTTTATTTTTTTACTTATATCCAATGATCACAACATAGCGTTTCTTACCCCGAACCAAACTCACACGCTCTATTTCTGACTCGGATAGCGGTGTCCCATCGTCTCTCACTCGCTGGGACCAGTTCGCCTTCAATATCTTGAAAGGCAATGTGGGCGGCTTGGGAGCAGTAATAGTTGCTTGCAGTAGTTTTATCATGTTTTTTTCATTGATATCAAGAATAGCAATCGCGGAATAATGTTATCCCCTTCGATGATTTGTTCAGATAGTACAAGAGGTAGATAATAAAAGTTGCTGGGAACATGTTAGCCGAGTTTAAACCTGCTTTTGAAGTTACCTTGGCACTTAGTAGAGCTGCATGCAGAGTATATAAATGAAGTGTAACCGTGATATATCGCACGTGTTTTTATGAGGAATGTAACGGATATGTAAAAAAACATCATAAAAAATATCTGTCATATCGATGGCCTAAGTTCGAAACCACGTATCTCCATTGCGATGTTTTAAAATTTCTACTGAGTTTATTTTTTTCCCCGAAAGAAACGAGCCAACTTTATATCTTGGTATCAATTAACCAAATTTCAAAATTGTAACGGGAACCCCGATTTTCAAAGTCAAGACCCCCTTTCAAAAAACCGAGGAGCCCTCAGAAAAATGAAGTTCGCGACCTTGTCCAACCAAAAATAACCAGGAAAAAAACCTGGTAGGGGTGATTGGGACACCCTGTATATTGAAAGGTTGCATACAGAATTGGAAGGTTCCATTGTAAGTAAATGGGTGCCCAAATACCTACTTTATTACGACTGTGATTTCAATGAGAAGAAGGGGAAGAAAGAGCAGGAAGAAGAAGGATTTGAAGCTCGTCGAGAAAAAAATCTTGGGGATGAGGAATGAACAAGGGTCGGAGCGGGAGGGGTTGTCTTCAGGAACACTTGAGTGGTGAAGATGAACTTAGCCGTCACAAGGGAACAATTCCATTATCTCTTGAACCCTGAAAAACAGGAGGTTACGTAGACTAAAAGGCTCGTCTCCAAGTCTTGTTGCGCGCCTTTTGTCATCAGAGTAAAGGTTCTGTTCTCTGTCACATCACTCAGACCGTCTAGCGTCTTCACTCTCGTGAACGGAAGGAGAGGGGCGAGGAGGGGGTGAGAAAAAAGGTTGACGATTAATAAGGGTCGGATTCCAACGGGCGGGCGGAACCCTAGAAGGCTCAGGTCAAAATGGGTGTGGGAAAAAAGTCCTGGTAAAGCCTTTTTTGAGCAACAAACCTACCAGGAAAGTAGAGCTAAGAAAAGGTGAGCGAGACGCCGAAGGGATGAAACGGAGAACTCGCCCTCCGCGACTGCTCGATAATTAGGTGGGTATCAGGATAAAACCATCCTGTCGCTCTCCTTCTGGGCGTAAACACAACCTTATTTAGCATACAAATTTGAAGGGTAAAATGGACGCATTTATGCAAATTAAGTTGAGGGGACCTTTCACATAGCCTTTTGCATGTTCATGAGTGGATAATTTGAAAGTAAGGGATGTCAGGAATGAAAGTTCTGTGAAATTTTAGAAAACATTCAGTGGAGTAATATTATTTGTCATCTACATTAAACCCCGCGGGGAAACATACCACACCCTTAATCTTTTTTTAAAAAAATTGAACGCTTGAGTTAATTCCTCTTCCACATTAATTAAAGTTCATAATTCATTTGCGCCCTAAGCTTTCAATTCCTTTATCAACTTAAAATGCATCCATGGATGTCACAAAAATGATGTTATGTGAAAGGCGGGTGAATGTGAGGGCGTTGAAATGGGCTCTGAAGTTCACTTTCCACGGGTAAAATATTTTATTTATATCACAATCTACACGGCTCTTAAGTAAATTGGTTGGTTNGGGGGGGGGGGGCTAGGGGCATATGTTTAGATTAATCTTTTTGTAATCGAGAAAGTTAATTTTTTCGCAGCTCAGAATTTAGCAACAAGAAAATTCTTCACTCGACTGACACTCAACCACATACAAAATGCCTCTGAAGCCTTTGCACTACTAGCTCACGTAAGCATTTTTACTGGATATACTTGCGTCATTCTACAGTCCACACCAACAGTAATTTGGAATGAGGAGCTGGTATGGGATAGCTTTTTCACAGGAAAGTCATGGTTTGAAAACCTGAGTGGCACACCTCGGGGCCTGATATCGGGGCTACACGGAGAAAAAAAACTTCGTGCGTGGAACCCGAAGTTGAGGTACTAAGGATCTCTGAAGTTTTCGGATCACGTATCTAAAAACTTGAGGTCCAGCGGCCGAAGTTCGGGTCAGACATCTAAAGTTTTTCGATACATACCGAAGGGTTCGGGTCACACATCTGAAGTATTCCGGTACATACCGAAGTGCCTCGATGTCTGACCCGAACTTCGGCAGCTTGGCCTCAAGTTTTCGAATGCATGATCAAAAAACTTCAGAGAC